GAGTTCTTCCAAATTCGAGCGGCGGATGACGTAGTGGCGGCCACTGGAAGAAAGATCTCATACATTTGCTGAGACCTGACGCGGGTCTCTACTTCCCACTGCGGCGTTCTTAGGATTACTACCGAACTCATACACTGGCATGTGGATGTTCGTGAGAAAAGCAAGTAGCTCTCACGCATGTGCAGAACTTCAAAATCACACGTCCTACAAGTTACTGAGGTCGGAGAAAGGCGTAGAGATCAGTAGGCGCAAACCCCGGTCATCGACAAGGGGCGGCATGACAAGTGCTGACTTCCAAATCTCCTGACTGGGGTCGGCAAAGTTGGCTCGTGTCGACCCTGTGGAAAAGTGTCAAAAAATCAGCCAATCCGGCACATCTGAGTAATTCCGCACGTAGAACAGCAAATCCGACACATGTCGCTGCATGGGACACAGTTTTCGGCAAACCCGACACCCGACACATGGGCACTCGGCTATCGTGGCTTGGCAATGGATGCCGTTACTGTTGATCCAGCGCTTTTCTTTCTTCTCGCATTCTCGCCGCCGCAACGCTGCGCAATGGCGGAGCTTGCAGCGCTTTTGACGCGCCTCGCCGACACGGTTCTGGACCTGTTTTGTGATTTGGCATGTCCCGGGCCCTTGACCTTCCATTCGACGCAAGTTGATGTTTGATCATGTTTCACAGTTGTTCACCGCAAAATTTAGGACCAAGAACGCACAGTTGTTTTCCGACACCACTTAAGTTGACCTGGATCACCCCAAGGCATGGGGTCTCTGATAAAAAACGGTCAGTCGCACCCCCCTCTGATTGCACACACCATCTAGTCCGAAGCACAAGCCGAAGCCATGGAGCGTTAGGCACACAGATTACCAGATTTACACGTCGTTCGAATTCCTTGCTCGATTTTCTCTTTATACGTGAAGTTATATACTGTACAAGTGTTCAGCCACTGTGACCTGTGACCACCAGTGTTCGGATTTGAAGTGTTCAGCAGCGGCTGGGACCTGTGACCACAATTTTTAGTGTTCATTTTGTAAGTGTTCAGTTCATTTTGGCGGCTGCTCTCAGGGTACGGAGATTGGCTCAGCCATATCTCATAGCCCCTGTGGCTCAACTGGTAGGCTGTGCTTTTTGTTTAAGCGTGGTTTCTGGTGGTCTTGAGTTCGGTTCACTCCTAAGGCTTTGCGGTGCTCAATATTCATGGGGATCTGGGAAGGAATGGTACTGCAGAGGATGTAGAGCTGGATGTCGTCGTGGGGGATCTTCCACTGGCGTTGCGGCGTACCAAGCGCGAGACGAAGAAGCCGGGGCACGACGGGGGTGAGGGGATGTGGGAAGAACATTAGATCCACGCTCTCAAGTTTAAATATCTTGTGTAGCCAGTTTGGGCTTGAATTCAGAGCTGAAAGCGATACACCGCTCAACTAGGGGTGCCAGAAAGCCCCAGCACCCAGTAGCGAGGCGAAAAATCGATTTTTTAGCCCTATATGAGTATAAAATGGTCAAGTGTTCAAACCTACTGGTGACCTGTGACCAAAATATAGTAAGTTCAGTTCAGCGGGACCTGTGACCTGTGACTGAACTTCCGGTCGTAATGTACAGTACAGCAAATTGTGACTTGCTGTTGAACAGCGAGTATCTGAATGCGACTCGGTCTTGGAATGCAAACAGTGTAAGTTCCAAAATACTCGCTCCTGGGCTGTCTTCAAAATCGTTTTTGTGTGGGCAATGCCAAGGCGGAGCATTATGGAAGTGCCGCTTCACGCGCTCGTCGATATGCGCGTTCAACACGCCACGATTGAGCTCCTCTAGCGCCCGAGCAATTTTATTTACCAACATATCATTTTTATTACTCCATCCATTAGTACTTTAACCTTCTACCATTTTTTATTATAGATTTTGCCTCTCTCGACGTTATTGCTCGAGAACGAAATGCATTCGCGCACTATAATGACCACGTGACCGCGGGACGCACATACATCCCGCCGCACCGAAACTGGTCGGGTTAGGTCAGGGTTGGTTGAACAAAATGAATGATGAATGCTTTGAGCTACTGTTGTCACGGAAGTTTGTTGTCGAACCATGCTCCGCCTACTCGGTAAAATAACATCACAGATCAACAATCACATCAGTTCAACTTGAATGTTGTCACGGAAGTTTGTTGTCGAACCATGTTCCGCCTACTCGGTAAAAGAACATCACAGATCAACAATCACATCAGTTCAACTTGAAGGGCGCAGGATGGTATATTTTCTTGGCAGTGTGTTGGAGTTGATGAGAATTAGGCCTATGTGTTGGATTCCCTGTGCTGTGTCGGACTTCCTGAAGGCCGCTCGCCGTGTCGCGGTGTCGGGTTTCAGGGTGCCTAAAAAACTTGAAGATTTATGTAATCAATGATCGGAAAACAACTACTACGTAGGTATTAAAGAGACTGTATTTACTGCTATTTGCGGAACATAAGGCGCAGACGATTTTTTCCCATTTTGGTCACTTTTTGATGTGTGGATTTCCTCTCCCTCTAGCGGGCTCAATTCTCATCGGTTTGCTCTAAAATTATGCGCAATCGATTTCTAGTCATAAATAGCAGTGAATAGCCTCCTCAGAATATTTACTCGGTCCGTGGTCCGGCCGGTTATTTAAATTATGGAATATTCAGCAGATATCCCTCCAGCACTGAAACAGGGCACTGTGAGGTCATACACTTTGGTAAAGACACTTATATGAATGTCTATTGATGCACTGAATACTTTGATATGAGATTATACAAGGGGAAACTGTGAAACACAAGCTGTAACTTTACATCAGATCATGATTCAAGGTCCAAAGTGTGGACCCTATTGCAACAGAATGGGAACATGGGGCAAGCTAGAATTTTTAGAGTACAATCTTTGTGGTTCTATTCAGTGTACTGTAACATTTTCTAAGCATCAATGTTATGTGAAACCCTGGAGTGAGCCCAACAAAATCACATCAATACAGACATTACATATTCCAGGGATTTCACTCCAGGGTTTCACATACCATTGACACTCAGGAAATGTTACAGTACACTGCATAGGACCCCAAAGATTATACTCTAAAAATTCTAGCTTGCCCCATGTTTCCATTCTGTTGCAATAGGGTCCACACTTTGGACCTTGAATCATGATCTGATGTAAAGTTACAGCTTGTGTTTCACAGTTTCCCCTTGTATAATCTCATATCAAAGTATCCAGTGCATTAATAGACATCCATATAAGTGTCTTTGCCAAAGTGTATGACCTCACAGTGCCCTGTTTCAGTGCTGGAGGGATATCTGCTGAATATTCCATAATTTAAATAACCGGCCGCACCACGGACCGAGTAAATATTCTGAGGAGGCTATTCACTGCTATTTATGACTAGAAATTGATTGCGCATGATTTTAGAGCAAACCGATGAGAATTGAGCCCGCTAGAGGGAGAGGAAATCCACACATCAAAAAGTGACCAAAATGGAAAAAAAATCGTCCGCGCCTTATGTTCCGCAAATAGCAGTAAGGCCGGTAATGGACAAAGATTCAAAATTCAGGTCCATCAGTTGCGAGTGAGTCTTCTTGGTGGGGCTAGGCGAGAAGGTGGGAATGTTGTCAAGCATCCGAGTCGTGAGAGGCATCGCGTATCGATGCAGCTGCCTTGCTCTCGTTGGTGAACCTTCTACATGGACGGTGTCGAGGACTCGGCCCACACTGTTCAGCAACATACAGCCTCCATAAATCGCATCCAACATGTGTTGTCGAAGCTCATAATGAGGTGATCATGACTCGGAGCTATCCTCCAATCCTTGCAAACTGCGGCACAGTCAGGGATCAAAAGGTCTTCATGGAGACCAACAGATGGATTCGGGGTCGCCGGCGAGACCATTGCAGATATTAAGTGCTGCGTAATCAGAGACCACAGTGTGTCCACTGTGGCTGAGTAATGAAATGGAATACAGTGCAGAGCTAAAGCGCTAGCGCTGGTCGCTGATGGCTCTCGAATGAATTGGAAAAAAAAGTCGGACATGGAAGTAGTGGACGAGAATGGAGTATTGGTTTTGTTCACGGCCTGGGCTTTCTTTCGTAGTGCCACACGAACTTTGAAGTACATGTTTTGTGATCTTGGCACTGAAATATCCAGGGCAGCTGCAATGTGAACAGAGTGACTCAGGCGATATTTTGGCATTCGGTTTGGCAGCGGCGAGAACAATGTCAAAGTCTCAAAGACAGCATGATCCCACATCCATCCCCTACTCTATTACTACTAGGGTTCTGTGTCCGAGTTAACCGCCTGCCGAACTGCAGCTTTTTCCGCGTGCTACAAACAATGTACACTGGTAAAATTGATACCAACAATTCTGCAGAGAGACCTCGAACGTCAGATAGTCAAACTCTCAAATGCTGAGTTTCTAAAAAGCCATTATATTTCTACGTTCGACGGTTGCGCTGGTTGTTAGATATGTGTATGAAGTTCTTGAGGTTTTTTACGTTGTGCCAGTGTTTCAGACAGATGCTCTAAGCGTGCGGCAGCGATATATCTCAATTTTGTTTTAAATGAAGTACTTTGGATTGTGGAGAAGCCCATGGATGCCCGACAGAGGTTTCTAGCACCTGGGAAAACCTGTACCAAAAATTGTTTGTGGCCAACCGACCAACCGGCACCCGTGCCGGCATTCACGGGCCGGCACCCCCTCGACGATTGCACGAGCGCTTCGCTGAGTGGCAATCCCATTGCCTGCAGTGAGTGCGGTGTTTTTATACGTTACAACTTACAAGCCCTTTTTCCTGCAGCTCTCCTGAGACTGTCTGGCATACATATAGTAGACTTCGTGGGTTACTTAGCGGGTTAAGTGACCGGCTCCGAGCCGGCTTGCCAAAACAAGACAAACTTTGTCTTCCGTGTTCTGCAGCATCATTATGGCCGGTTCGATTCATTGTTTTGCCATACATATTGTCCATTGCCATTGGGTGAAAAAGAGCAATGCAGAAAAATACAAAATTTAACTCTCGACCTGGGAGTCGAACCCAGCTTTCGCGCGTAACCACTAACGAGATATGTAATGACAAGCGCGTGTACTAAACCGATATACTAGTCAAGATTTACAAAATTGTTTCTGATTTGTCCCCTGTAAAGCTGTTGGCCTGGGGCCGGGCCTTTCCGCCTTGCCGCACATGCTCGGACGCGGACGCGAATCACGGACATCGAAATAAAGTTGGGCCTGATTCCACGTACCGTTATTGGGCCCATATATACAGTATCAATCGGTGTCTTGGATGCTAATGTCCATGCAAAGGGTGAGCGCGTTCCCGAACTTTTGATGACTGCAGTGTGCACTGCCTCTTCTCATCCGGACACGGCATATAAAATCAGTGATGCAGATAGGGCCCCTATTTTGTGCACATGGACCCCAGAGGGCCCTCAGAGGCCCTATTGCCCTATTGTGAGGGCCGGAAGAGGGCCCTCACGTCCCAAAAAGGAAATTTTTGATAATCCATTTTATTTTGCTAGTCTACCCAATGTAATCGGAATCTCTACAGTGCCGTCGTCTTCTAAAGCATTGGCAGCATGGTTCTAAGCATCGTGCTCAGCCTAGTCTCAGCCTGCTCCTCGATCACAGTGAGCCTTGGACATGGAGGAGGTGCGTGGCCTCTGAAGAGCTTGGTAAGTGTCATCTTCGGCCACTTCTAATGCTGGTTGTCCAACGTGAAGTGTGCAGAGAGTCAATTAAAAAATAAATCACACAATAAATCACACGTCACAGTGACTGATGCTGCTATTGGATAAGATAAGATAACACAATAGGGCCCTCAGATGGCCCTCTCGACAACGCCTTCATCGACAGGGCCCTATGTGAGGGCCGAGAGGGCCCTATCACGTTAGGGCCCTCACGGCCATTGATGCATCACTGTATAAAATAAATCTGCCAGCCTCCGGGGCTCCATACGCTTTTCCTCATTGTGCTAGTTGCGAAATTTGTGTTTGATGTCCTTCAAGTAATATTTTACGCCGTACCTTTGCATCGCCCATACTTAGAGTGATTCAATGAACTTCAAGTCGAAGCTGATTATCCTAGGTCAATATTTGTGCCGCTGTCTGTTGTCTGGGGTGTACCGTGGGGCATGGGGAACCCTATCATGGGTCTGCGACTGGGGCTTGGAGAGCCGCTCAGCAGGACTCCAGGGGCGATGGTGCAATTTGCTTGCTTTGTACACCGGGTAAATCCCCGGAAATCGGCGTTCGTTATTCGGAGCGTGCCGTGTAATATACTACCTACCTACCTACCTACCGTTCTTGTCGACGGTTTAGCAAACGCATTCTTTACTCCATTACTTTTTCCATTTGGGTTCGTCGAAGTACCTGTACCCAAGTGTCTATCACACAGATGAACATCACACTGTTCAACTGTTAAACTCCTCCCTCCCCTTCGCGTCGCTCTTGACCCACACGCTCACGCTCATCGCCGAGCATCTAAAATCCGCCCAGCCGTCCTCCCCAATGACGACCTCGCCCGTGTGCCACCCCAGGACGTCCGTCCAGCGCTCGTTCGCGTGCTCCTTCCCGACCTCCATGCGCTTGAATCTAAGAGCCGCGGGCGTCAGTTAATCGTAATCTTTCTTTTCAAGGAAGGAAGAAAGGTGCGTACCCCTCGTCGCCGTTGCAAATCACCACCGCGCACCCGTCTGGCCTGCCCTTGTCCGGCTCGCCCATGCGCACCCAGCTGAGACGCAACATGGATTATTGTTAACCAACAGGCAGAAGTTGGCTGGACGCACCCAACACAATTCATATGATCCCAATAGTCGCGGAGCTCGCCGTACGCAAAGAGTTTGCGCGCCCGGACGAGGTCAGAGAGCTGTGAGACGGGCTCCTGCGGCTGGTCGCCCTTGGTGCCGTAGAGGTCGCCCCATATGCATCAGAAGAGGATCGGCCATACTGAGATAATCGTAGTTTTGGTTCTCGCCGTCGACTCCCTCGGCCCAGTCCTTGCCTTCCCCGTGGATTTTGTATATCGAGGTCTTCTGGTTTTCGTCGTTGTAATCGACGCCCGTGAAGTGGTTGAATGTGTATTTCATTTTGCTGTGCTTGTCGCCGCGACCCGGAAAGTCAAAGCCCGTCCAGCCCTGGTGAGATCAGGATACAGTCGAGACAAATGGTAGCGGACTAACCTTGATATCGTACTTGTCAGAAATCTCCTTGGTGCGGTCATCGTTGTCGACCTCCACCGCGGCAAAAGTCTCGATGCGGTCTGCGCCGAAGCGGTGGTTCAGTACCGCGTCGACGTAGCTGACGATGCCGTTCTCTTTGGCCTTTTTGATGACAGCGATGAGTTCTTCCTTGGTGCCATAATTCGTGCGGACGCCGCCCTTCTGGTCGAATTCGCCTAGAGTCGAGCTCAGTATAAGGAGATGAGAGGACAAAACGCTTCCGACCCAAGTCATACACGTCGTAAATGTCGTATCCGACTGAGTTCTGGCCTGCGGCCTTGGTGGGCGCTGTGGCGAGGTCAAGACGCGAGAAAGAACGCGAATGGGCGATCCTCACGCGGCAGCCACATCGCCGTTACTCCCATCGACGCGAGTTCAGGCACCAGCTTCTCGAGGCGCTTCCAGTGAACGCCGCCGCCCTCGACGTACCATTCGAAGGCTTGCAGCTGGCAAAGGCGCGGTAAAAAACACGCCCAATCCGAAGAAAGCGGAACTTGCCATGGTATAGTTCTGGTCCTTCTTTGCAGAGTATTCTGCGTTCGCGTCGGTAGACATGGCGGGCAGGAAAGAGAGAGAAAAGATGGCCGTATACGCGTCCTTATAAGGAAAGAGACGCGCGTGATCGTCACCGATGACGTCACGCGTCGAGACTACAGAAACGTTCATCATGAAAAACACTGGGACGAACTCTGCACAGCGAGTCGTTCTGAAGATATATACTGATAATTATACTAATAATTGATGCGTCTAGATTTTGATATGCGGATCGTAGGGTGAAATTGGAGGCATGAACTTGAAGGGCACTTTCGGATGAATCTAGCCAAGGAAACGCGTCGCGCCACGCGACGCGTACAGACGGGCTGCTCGTCGTCAGTAAGCGAATACAGGGCTGTAGAATACAGCGTTTAGTGTGGCGTGAAATAGCTCCGGGGTCTAGTCAACTACCTAGGGCTCCTGGAAGGGGTCTGTTTGACCTATTTTACTGCGTTATTTTACCCGAAATTTACCAAAGCTCTTTGAAGCCTCTGAAGCCGCCCAGGACCTAAATTTTGCCCTTTCCGAACCTATACAAGGCTATTGAATACAGTGTTTGCCCCCCCGCCAAGCACGTATTGAAGGCCAGATCCAGAGACGTGTACCTTGGGACTGCATGGTCCCTGGGGCGAATCATCGTCCGTCTTCATCCGTATCACCTTTACCTTCCCGAAGGACTATCCGCACCGCATCCACCCACGGGGTACACCTACCGTCGAACTCGAGCGCAACCCGCTCATCTCTCTCAAAAACCGTGCATTCATTTTGCGTCGCTTGCGCACGCTTCGCGAGCGGCAGCGCCCGTGTCTTGAGGCCTGCCTGCGATTCCTTAGCGAGGGCGAAACATCTGGTCTGCACTCGATGCATATGGACTCGGAGTCATCTGATAGCGACGAGCAGCGCACTGGGCGCAAGGCGCGCAACGGCATGATGTCGCTCATACGGAGCCATAAGAACCTCACAGAGCCGCGTAGATCGCAGGGGACATTTGGGCCAAATGGTAGCGTTACTTCTGTATTCCAGTTGCTCGTTAACAATGTCCTCTGGGTGAGCTGGTGTGCTTTTTCCCTACGCCCCCACGAATTGTGCGGCATGTTTTGCGCGGTCCCGAGGTTTTATCGTCGCCGGCGAAGACGGTTTCGGACATCCCTCCGTCCCACGACAGCATCGATCTTGGTCCCGAGCGGCCGCCGCTGCGCCGGTTCCGCTCGCCATCCCTAATCGCAGACGCTGTGCGACGGTTGCGTCTTTCAGCGACAGATCGCGTTGTGAAACCGCTTGACGCCCGGCAACCTCAAGCTGGCGGAGATCATATTTTGCGCATTATGACGAACATTCTGACGTTCTCGCACGATACGCCGCACCACCGCGAGTCGGAAAGAGAGTCGGAAACGCGCACACGATTGACGCACCCGGCGCCGCGAAGGAGGACCGTGTTCATCACGAACACATCCCATATCTCAGGCGGAGATGCCCGGATCGAGTGCGGTGTTTTACGCGCATTCTGGCACGTCTTCGTTCCTAAGATACTGAAGGACTGCGGTTCGACGGCGGCCCCGGAACGGAAACAACTATAAATACCTCTCTGCTTTCCCAGCCGGATTCCTGCCACCATTTCCTCTAAAAATGCTTGAGAGTGTGTGTAGTTTGTGTCAAGTATCAGCAGCGTGAGAGTCAAGGTTTGCCCCTGGGGCCCGGTGTGACTCGTGCGTCAGAACTCGTGCACGAGTGACTCACACCGGGCCTTGTGACGCACTGGCACTGTGCAAGCGTTCGAAGTTAAACTTCGAACTACTCCTCTCTTTCGACTCCAAGTCGCTCGTAAATTTCTTGATAACAATCGCGCCTTGGTACGATGAGCACCCAGTTGACATTAATCAATCATACCATCTGTTTCTTGTGTCAGCGCTCCACGACCATCTGACGGCCACGCGCTAGTCTACAGGCAGCGGCTTTACTCTCTCTTGCCTTCCCCAACTGTCGCACCCCAGACCAGTATTGTTACAGCCCCAGACCAGTCTTGTTACAATGACAGAAGAACACCACAAGTCTAGTCTCAAGAAAAGATTCTTGAAGTCATTCAGTCTTAGCCGCCCCAGCAGTCGACCGGGAAGAAACACTCCCCAACCTCCAGAGGGTACGTCAATTATCTTATTTCTGATGCTGTAACTGAATCAGCCACTACAGTGGCATATTCTGTGGACCAGCCAAGCCCTGGGATGTTAGAAGATGAGAACTCAAGCCAAGGTATGTTGATGTATTCACTCTTAGCACTCCGTCTCCGATATGCCCTGCAAAATACAGAACCTCCTTCTGGACCTGTTCCTGAGCTCGAGGTGGATAGTGGTAAGTAAAAAGT